TAAACTTCTTAAGCCACTTAAAGTGACGCTGAAGAAAATTGTGGGATAATGCAGGATGTGGGAATATAAAAATAACAATAGCAGACCTTTTAAGGTAATAGAGACAGAGCCTCAAAGTCAGCAATATGAAACAGGGAAAAAGAAAACAGATTCGTATAATCTGAAAGGGACCGCAGTGCCTGATATTAGGTAACTAATATTAGATGTAGGGCCGATTTCCCAACATTAATATTATGGACCAATAGGAAAATACCTTATGGAAATGCAATTTGACAGAAGCTGCCAAAGGTCTCAGAATCTCAGTGATTTCTATTGAATATTGAATAAAATCGTGAGAATTCGACTGTATTATAAACAAGACCACTTTTTGATTCCAACATGATGCTTTTGTACAGAAAAACAGGACAACTTTCATGTATTTTGATATATGTTATAGGTTTACATTTAAAAATCCGTTACCCCGTCAGCGAATGGGAACGCGGCAAATAATAGGTCGATTTCTAGCTGTTAATTTGGCAGCAGATTGGACGTTTGTTAATGCATGGCACTCTCGAATTTACATACTTCAATATACTGAAAGTTATCATTACATACCTGTTGAATAGTGTGGATTTGTCTGCATTTTGCAAGAAAATAGAATACAAAATACATTCCATCCAAGTACAAGAGGATAGCGAAGATAATAATAGATGAACTTCCCCAGCGATAAATTTGATTGATCAATAGTTAAGTTAGTGAACATACGATGAGGTGCTTAAATTTTAATATAATTTTTCCTCAAGGAAATCTCCATATAGAAAGGATTCATGCATTTCCAGCAGCTCCTTTTGAAAGTAATACCCGACTTCTGGGAACTGGACGTTTTGAATTTAAATTCCGCATCGTAGTCGCATATTTCGAGCAATGGCTGGACTTCTATCGGATTCTAGGAATAGTAAAATCCTGTTGAAGGGATTCAGATTTACGGCTATCTAATACCCTAGGTGACAAGAGGATAAGCAGTAGAGCTCATACTAGCGTTCCTCCGATCATAGGCTGACAACGATGGACAGCTGTTTTATGCTATTTGGCAACTATTCAGCAGAGTGTACGCTTGGAATCGAACAAAAAGCTGATCAACTCTACTCTATTCAGAGTTTGAGGTCTATCGAAATAAGTTAGGCACAGAGTGTCATCTATCATCAGAATCGACCATTAAGAAGGTGAAAGCCGTTGGAACTGTATGCCAGTCCGCATTGTCAGCAGGGCCACTACTGTGACCGCTAGATGCCGCCGATTCTGGAGATATAGTAGTACTTTTCACTTTCCTGGTGATCGATTATGGTAAGAGATGGCGCTTTGTGAATAAAGGTGCGTTTACATATGAGCAGGCACGCACTGAGCATAAGCGCAAGCATTCGTTCGCGTGTGTGGAGAGTGTTTAAACTGAAATTCATTTTCAATGCAGGGGCTGATCCAGTCGTCCGCGTACGATGTTAACATGGAGGATCGAGATATAGCCGCGGCAGCATTTATTATAATAAATGCTGTATAATGTAATCGTCGTCGGTGGAAATTTCTACACAAAAAATGATTTATTGAAGGAATTAGTATCAGTTGTATGGTCAATGCAGAAATTTTACAGAATGATCAAGCAACGATAGTGAAAAATGATACACAGGTTAGAAAATATATATCACCAAGAGAACGTTTTGCCATACCTTGCGTCCTTTAAAAACTGGAGGACGCCTACAGCTGCTTGCAGTATTTTTCAGTATCAAAATCTTCATTTTGCCTCTCTCGCGACGAAATGAGCCCATCAGACTTTTAATTGTTTACTGTGCTTCGCAACATTCTAATTTTCATACTATACTTGATTACTAGTCGTTGTTATGCATCATTTGTTTTCGATTTTGAATACTTCGTGCCTAGAGTCCCACCAGTACATGTCACAGTCCGTGAACTATAACCTGTTCAACAATGTTGGTTGTTATCAGTTCAAATCATCTTAATTTTCTATTGATAAACAAATTTCAAAAACATAGTGTCGCGAATAATGTACACAGATTCTGAAGAAAGACAAAGCCAAGATCGCAGACAAGAGATATTGATATTTTACGGTACACAGACTATATAAAAAAAATAATTGCAATTGATTGTAAGCTATAATATTACATGTAAGACTCAATGTCTTCAGAATGGTATTATTTATTTGAAAAGCTACCACTAGAACTTGACATCTTCACCCTTGTTCCAAAAATAGTATTCCATATAGAAATCTAGTTGTAGCGCACAGTCACTGTAATACGTGAGTGACGAATAAGGGTGAATTCTGTATGATATCTCGTTATCAGGTTAGGTGCACTTAGTTGTCTGTACCAAATAACACTGATAGACACAGGATTTATAACATGACAGTTTTTGGGAGTATCTTATGTATTTCTCGGCGTTTATGCGATGACGCACATATATAATGTTAAGACCGGTCTATTCCTGTTATATGCGAGCTCTATGTTTAGAGAGCATATTGCGTTTATTAGCAGACCAATAGCAGCCGAGTCAGTTACGTTTTCTGTGTTGAAGAGTACTGAGATGTTCTGAGTACTGCTAATTTTGTTTTAAAAACGATGCTATTTTTTGT